TCAGCGCTGTGCTCAATAATAATCATAAAATTATGGTTACAATTATGGTTACATCACACTTCCACAATGCTTTTTCATCCTCAGATAAGATACAAAATTAATTTATAATGTGTAAATATGATCAAATATACATTGAAAGATGGAGGAACACTCATTATCCACATAATGTTCCATTGATTAATCATGATGAGCTGGCGTAATTAGATGAGGTGGGACAGTAGAGAAAGGGGACATTTCGTCTGAGAGAAGACGGTGTTGCACAACCACAATCACAATCTTATGCAATCACTTCCACTTAAACTGTGAAATGCGATATGTGCTCTCATGTATACAACTATCTCTGACCAGTTTAATTAATATTCCCTTGAATCCTTTGAATGCTTATTCCAAAAATTGCTCAATGACTTCCACATAATTTGGCTTTTCTAAAGTGCATAGATCTGAGAAAAGCAAATCTAAGTGTAATGTTAACACGTTCAGAACTGATAGAACGAGTAGGCAGTGAAGCCAACCATGGGAATATGTTTAGTAAATTCTTACACTGATACATTAAGACAGAAAGATTTATGAATGTACAAATCAATGGAATGAAAGCGGAATCAATAGCGACCTTGCAAGTGCACCATTACTTTCTTTGACTTTATGACTGCTGCGGTTCACATGCCCGTGGTGTCCACACAGAGCATTTCTGCTGTGGCACTGCTGCTGCCAGCCTGAAATATATGAAATCCCTGCTTTTCTGGACTTATGATGCCTGTCAATATGCCACCAGTGTGTGGGATTACATAGAAAGCAATAGGTTGGGGGTCTGAGTGTGTTTGTAAATTGAAATTGATCGAGAGGATGTTTAAGTGAGAATCATGCAGTATTCTGCGTGTGATGAAAGTGAATCTTGTAACCTCGGATGTCTAATCACAGTAGATCTCGCCTCTGCTTCCTTCATGTCATGTAGCAGATATTTAATGTGAAACGTGACAGACAACAAATATGGTAAACAAAATATATGACGTCACCGGGACAGTGCAGCTAATTGTTTGTTTTGTGTAATTTCAGGTGTTCCGGCTGTTTTTGTGGCAGTGTGGGCGATCGTCAGGGCAACGCTAGCAGATGCAAGGTGAGAACGAGTCACGCTGTGTCTAAATGCTGGTCCTCTTTCACACTAAAAAAGTCAGAGGATGCAGAGATTTTTTAAAAAAGGTCAACAAGTTTAAAGAGTAAACATGAATAGAAACATGAAAAGAGACAAAAACAGAATTTCTCGCTCTAAGTAGTGCGTAATTGTGTTGACATTTTAATCGTCTGTGAAATCCAATTAAATATGCATGATTTATTTTACAGAATAATTCTGTTTTGTCATGTCAGGTACACAGTATCTAGACATCTAAAAAAGTATGTGGACATCAAACGCGATTATTAAACACCTCATTCTAAAACCACAGACCTTAATATGCTGCTGTAACATCCGCCACTGTCCTGGGAAGGCTTTCCACATGGGATTTTCCATGAGTTCCTTCTCAAAAAGGCCTGGCCAGCAGTCGGCTTTCAGAGGTGTTGGATGGGGTTGAGATCAGGGCTCTGTGCAGACAAGAAAACCATTTCTTTATGGAACTCACTTTGTCTACAGGAGTTTGCTATGCTGAAACAGGAAAGGATGTTCCCTGTGAACAGACTTTATTGTCTAAAATATTGTGCTGTAGCATTATTTCCTTTAATTTGAACTAAGGGACAAAAGCAAACCTTAAAAAAACAGCCAAAACGTACACAAAAGAATGTACATATTTGGACCATAAAGTGTATTTCAGAAATACAAAAGGTAAAATTATTGGTGGAGTCAATATTTTCCACAGGACACCAGTAATCTACTATAGTTTAATGTCTACTGTTTCAATGGTCCACCTCCATCATCCATTTGCAAAAAAAAATCATCAGAGCTTCTGACCTCTAAGTTGAGTGCTGATTTTCATAAATTTTGATATAATGGTATTTCCTTCCAAACATGACCTTCCTCTGCCTCTCTGTAACTGCTGATAACTTCAATATTTGCTTCACTGGTGTTCAAAGACTGAAAAAAACCTGCAATGATTCTCTGCACACACTACTGGAACAACATCTGCAAATGGGCAGCTGAATTGACATTACATCATGCAATTTAATCTACTGTCTTGTCTTGAGAACTGTTTTGTCTGTTTTTCTGTCCCAAAATATCTGCCTATTCTTCACATTTTGTACAGATTTACTAGAATGTACCTGTCAATGCACTGCAGTTAACAGACTGTCCACCCCCCCAGTCCCTCAGGGTCAGTCCCTCTGGCTACATCCAGTTATTATTTTAAATTATAGTTTTCCTCTGTGTGAACATTAGCAGCTGATATTCTAGTTTCCATTATGTGACTTATGCTAAGTGGTAAGACCCTGGTGATGGATCTTTTAAGTGACTTTCACAGAAAGGAAGTAGTTTGTGTAAATCCCATTAAGCTCGGTTTAGCACACTGAGTGAAGTTGAGGTGAGTTCACTTTGTTTCCATTGCAATAAGAAATATTAGGGCAACTTTCAACACAGCAAACTAATAAAGCCATCATAAAACAAAAAAAAATACATAAATAAATGCAGAGAAGACATTAATAGTCTAGTATGTAGAATTTAGTCGCCTCACCCTCCCCTCCCAATTGTGGAGAAACTGCAGTGGCCACGAAACCTCTAAATCTAAATCTAGAGCCGGTCTTTGGTTTGTCCGCTGCACGTTGGTTGTTCTGGCCTCCAGGTTGTCCATTACTTCCTGATAATGAACACCTTGTTGGACATTATCTGTTACATAAACTCTGTCCAAAGCATTTTTAATATATTATATAATATATATGATATATTTATATATATATTCATTCATCTTTACAGCCTTTATAATTGTGTGTAACAACATTTCTAAATAGTAATATTTCAGATTAGTTAGTACTGATTATGACCGATGTATCCCTTCATAATGGCTGGAGGAAAATAAATAAATAAATAGGAAAGGTGACGCTATGTTCCTTAATAAATTTCTCTTCTTTATTAACTTGCTAGTTCTAAGGGACCATGTAAACTCTTGACAGAAATTGTGATGATAATTGAAGTGGTCTATAAAAAGATTGCCACGTTTTGTAAAATTATATTTTCCCTAGTTCCAAGTGTTTCATGACATCCTTCATTAAGAATTCGATGTGTTGATGCAGTTTTCTCTTTCCAACTGAGTAAGAGCAATCCTTGTGCCAGCATGCTTAAAAATGATACCATATTATGTTCCACGTTGTTGTTTTTTTTAACTGTATTAGTCTTTAATTTTTAGAACTTCCTACATTTGTTTATTTTCTCTGTTTTGTCACTGCCTTTATTCACTGTATTAGTTTCCATTTGAGCCCTGTCGCAAGCCGTATGACAGCTTTTTTCGAGCCCTATTATTTACTTGATGCTCAGGAGCAGGTCCTCGTATCTGCAGCTTTGTTTGAACACAAACAAACCACTGCAGAGATTAGGGGAATTTACTCTGCAACGGTGAGAGCCCTGCATAACAGAAATAGTGCGCTGTTGTTCTCTTGGCAGAACAGCAGAGGTCAATTTACTCTCAGTGACCTGAAAAAGACAGCACAGTTATGAAAGAGTATCATGATGACACTTCTGTTCAATTGCACTTTTGTTGCTGACACTGTGCTGGAGAGGAGTTGAATTAACTCTGTGGCACTTGTTGAGGTTGTCGTGAATGAGTAGATCACACATTTTGTTCAGTGCTTCTGTTAGATACTAGGTGATACCACATATGATATGTCACATTCGACATTCCAATCAGTGAATCTCCAAGTCTCTGTCTATACCTTCATGCCATTACAGTACATTGGGGGATGTGTTTTTAAATACCATGTATGCACAACATACAAAGTACTCACTCAGCTCAATGTTTGCTATAGAGCTGCATAATCATGTTTGCATAATCCCCTGAAACTTCCGCAATATGGAAAGTTTTATATTTGTGTGTGCAAGGTTTCCTTTGAAGCTTTATAATGCCATGTCAAACTCCTTCTTACTTTTCAGTATGACATACATAAAGTAGTCCCGCAAGTGTTAGTTTCACTTTTAACTAAGCTGTACATGGCATAAAATGCACCTGAGGTGCGTAAGTAATTTAAAGCACAGAAAAGTATAAAAGTAAGCACAAAACAAGAAAGGTAGACAGTTTTACTATGTCTACCTCAAGGTGAAACAGGCCAATAAAAACGACTAGGAAGCCAGGTCACGAAATGGCACTTGGAAACAAAAAGTGAAATAAAAAATAAAAAAATGGAAACAAATAAATTAAAAATCAAAGAAGATGAAACATTTCTAATAAAAAAATGGAAAATTATCAAAATGAAAACGGTAACTTAACTTAAAAATTGGAAAAAAGAAAACATCAGAAAACTAATAATGGACTTTGAGCTTTAAAACATACAGTATTATTGTTATTATTTGTCATTTAGCTTTTGACTTTTTATGCAGTATGTATACGAAGTCACCGCTCCTGCTGTCATCCATCTGTAACTTCTATATTTCGGCCTGTTTGCATCTGTTTTTTCCCTTTCGCCCTCTGTATGTGAGATCTTTTCTCTGATACTTTTTACAAATGTTTGTGACAAACACTGAGCTTATTTGTTTATTTGGTGCTAATTTAATACTCTCATATTTCTCTGGCCCTTACAGTATGTCTTTCGAATAGCACGGACCACCTTCTTCTTTGCTCTGCTGCGTAATGCTTCATCCACTCCTCTGTATTTGTGTCAACTGCAGGTGTTGGGAGCTAAGTGCTGGTAACATTAAGTGGATCTACCAGGTTCCCATCCTGACAGCCATTGGGGTAAGATTGAGTGTGAAATAAGGGATTTGAATGTAACTTGAGAAGCTGCTGAGAAATCTGCAACTCTTACTGTGAAGTAAGAATTAACTCTTTTTAACAGGGCTAGTCAATTCACATTGGGTTAGAGTTTAAATCCAGATATATTAATCCTGTTTTCTAACCTTGTTTTATACTTTGTATAAACTTCACTCAAAATGTTGTTGTAGCACGAGAAAGCCTAACGAAAGAGGGCTGAACATGCCTGCTGTGATAATAATGTTTAATTTGCAGTGTTATTAGTTAAATAGCTGAGTCATTTTTTCTCTCCTTTCAGCTTAAATATCCTGCAGTTGCATTAGTCTCCATCGGATTGTTCCACAATTGTTGTATAATTAACAGCTTCCTGTCATTTGTCTTTGACTCATTAACTCCTGACCTGAAGAGTCTTAAGGTTCTTTTTTCACACACTGGCATAATGCTGTGCTCATCCTGCAGTTTTGGTACAGATCTGGTGTCCGCCTCCATTCTTTGTTTCTATCCCTCACTGCTCTGAACCTTTGGTCTTTATCACCATATATGCATGATTAATTATTACTGGTGAAGCTTGATTATGTTTTATATTTCCCTTTAGTGCAGCTTGGTATCAAACATTAGTACTTTTTGAGCAGTGGTGGATTGTAAGTACATTTACTGAGGTACTTGAGGTAGTTGTCCTGCACTTGAGCATTTCCATTGTTTTTCTACTTTATACTTCTATTCCACAATCCACAATATATATTAATTTACTTTGCAGATTTAAATTGTTGATACATAAATTGACTAATAAATGATGATATATTATTATTACTTATTATGTTACATATCAGTATATTAAGTAATCAGAATTAGCCCTACCTTTACTGCATTAATGCATCCATAATAATAATACAATGATATAATACTGGTATATGTGATTCTAATAGGGCCCTTTCTACATAATGACCACTTTTATTTTGATACTTTTACTTAAGTAAGTCATGTATGTATGTATCTCTACTCATATGTTTTTGCAATGTAGTATTGCTATTTTTAGTAAAAGATTTGATGTACTGTTCTAATTTATATTAATTTTTAAGCTCTTTATTTCACACTGATGCACTGAGCACTTCAGCATGTTTATATTCTACAAAATAAGATATTGAAAAAGTATATTTTTAGGTTTTGACACCCAAACTCAGGCACCGATATTATTATATAGAGATTCTTAGCCTAACCCGGGCGATTGAGTACATTTACTTTACCACCTCCCACGCAGTGAAAGCAGAGCACTACAGCAGCAGCTGCAGTCTTCCATCAGTGTCTCTCCTCAGCCACAGTATTGCTGTGCACTTGCAGAGCCTAAGTGAGCTGCAAGTGTCATTGATGCAAGCCGTATAGATCAGGGAATTTCAAAGGCTGACACTGTCACCCACTCCCCCATTTTAGTAATGTAAAAAATATTGACTAGGCGACTCAAAAAACCTAATATAATGGATTTTTACACTCCTGGAAGAGAAGTAAGTGTGATGTTGCCATGGATTCAGTGAGTTAATTTTGTGGTCCACAACTTAAACCCAATGTTTTCCAGCCCATATTTCTTGCTTTTCTTGTATACCAAATTAGCTGTTATCTAACCCAAGGATGTACAGACAAGTATCACTGGATTACTTTAATATTAGAAAAACTTAAAAACATGATTATAGATAATAGTGTCATCAGAAAGTGTCACACTGAATTTAAAAATATGTTTTGTATCTGTGTGTTTTGCGATTATATAACTCTGAGGAGTTTGTTTTTTGACTCAAATTAGGGCTATCAGGCACTAATGGTTTTACCTTATTGGCCTCCATGAGCTGTGTGTCACAGCAACTGCTGCTCAAGATATTTGTTTTTCTCTTGGTGTCCTATTTTATGCTTAGACACAAACAACCAACCTTATCACCTGATATAGCAGGGATAGGCAACCTGCAACTCTTTAGCACCTATCCAGTGGTTCCCTATAGCTTTGACAAAATAATATTTGGAAATGAATAACAGCTTATTTTTAAAATATTTTCAGTTTCATTTACCATTGTTGTATGCCTTTTCCTCTATATTTTGCCAAACTTCAAAATGGTACCTACTAGTTTTGCGTCTCCCTAGGCTAGCTATAAATCCAAATCCTAAAAAGGAAAAGTCTCAGAGGTGAATAGAGAATGTAATAATGCATGAATGGTTTTGTTTGCTTTCACCTTCCATGCTGCAAATATATTTTGCAGTTCTAGGCAGATTTTACTTTGGGCCAAAAATGTCTCTTTTGAAAGTAAAGGTTGCTGACCTCTGCAACAGCACATCCATAATGGATGATCATGTAAAACCTGGAGTTAATTGGAACAATTTAAACATTGATGATGACACCTGTCTTTATTCCTGTTGCATATAATGGGCTGCTGTGGCTCAGGAGTCGCTGATGCTGTGCCATCAGTGTACGAATGTGTGTGAATGAATTTGTTTCCGTTTCTGATTAGAAGTTGGCAGCTTGCATGTCAGCCTTTGTCGTCATTGTATTGATGTGATTGATGTATGTAGTGCAAAGCACTTTGAATGGTTGGAAAACTAGAAAGGCGCTACATAATTGTGCAGTGCATTTACCATTTTATCACTTAACTGTGCATGGCAACTGTAGATGCTTAGATATTCTGTGTTTTTCAAAACTGATGCACAAGAATGGGCATAATAGCCAGTTGACAAAAAATAAAATACTGTTTGTTAGAACCAATTACTGAATAAACAACAGCTACACCATGACCAGGGCATAGCCAACTCAAGAAAAAAAATATGAGCACAATTAACCCTAAGATAGAACGTAACCTCAGAGTTGGTTAAATGTGCATGTTTTTAATGATCTCCATGTTATTATAAAAAGGAAGGAGAAGCGCAGATAAGAAGTGCTGAGATATATTTACAAAGAAAACTGAGAAGAGCAGAAAAGATGAATCATTAAAAGACTTTGCTTGTTTGTTTCTGAGATAGTTATGTAGACATGGTACTTAAAAAGAGAAGACTATTTTCCTTCTACTACACATACTGTGCGGACACTACATACACATTCAGGTATTTAACCAAGAAAAACAGAGGTTGTATATCAAAGTTCCCTGCATACAGTAAAAGCAGAAAGCAAAAAGCAAAAAAGTTCTTTTATGTTGTCAAGTGTGCAGTGATTAACATGTAGAACATGCTCCTCCTCTCATCACTCTGCCTGTCTTCCTCTAATTCAAATTCAAATGAGCTTTATGGCATGAAGCAGCAGTATTTGTTGCCCATGCAAATCACGAGCAACAGTCTCTGTCCTTTACCTTCCATACTGTGCACAGCTCCTCTGTGGGCTGGGGATTCTTTTAGCAGTGGAGCCGGCCGTACAAAAACACAAATTAAGGAAAAGGGATGATAGAAAGTGTTTGGTCATGCAGTGTCTTGCTGTGAGCACCACTTTTGCAAAAGCTCTGAATTAATGATCAAACTACATACAAATTACTCTTTTGTTGAAAGACATGTTTTGATTTGAGTCAAGTTAAGCTGCTACCAAACTGCAACTGGAGAAAATCTCCTGCAGATTTTAATCAGAGACCGCTTCACTTGCTCGCTGAAAATACAGAAAGTGTCAAAATGAGACCACATGCTATTATATTGTAGATTCAATTCAAAACTTTTTACTCCTAACTCAAGTTACAACGGTTAGAAACGTAAAATACATGATTTTACACCATGTAGACACAGCTAGCTAACTATTTTGAATATATGACATTACTAGCCCATTATTGTGTATCGTTTCCTGACAGTTAATAGTTACATATTGAATATTTTATTTCATGTTAAGTCTTTATATACTTTAAATAAGTTGTTTATTTGATATAAAGTTTGACTGTGCATCAAAGTGTAGCTGTGGTACCTCAAGATAAGTAAACTGCTAATACTTTGCAGTACGATTTGTATGACAAGGTCTTCAAGATAAGCTGTTCAGTGCTCGAGTTCAGTTTACCAACGCTCAAAAGAAACTTGCACTCAGACATGCAATTTAAAAAGGATTAATATCGCTGTAAATTATATGCCAAACACCTGTCTCTTAGTGTTATATTTATAGATATTAAAAGAGGCATCTCATAATTTCTATGTGTCAAGTGCATGGTTTGTATTTATTTATAAAGACGCAATAATTCTGCACGAATAATGATCACCACAGTCTTTGATGAGCAGTAGTTTTTGAAAAGTAATAATTTTGGGCTGTACAGTATCTGGGTTCACAGCCTAAATGCTACTTTTTCCTCTCATCACACAAAGTGACACATTATCTGGGTTTTAAGGGTCAGACCCGCACTTCCTCATTAATATGAGTACCAATTACAAGTAAAGCCTTTCCTCCTTGTTACTGTTAAGCATTCTCACTATAGTCAATTCTTATTTTTGTATGTTAACAATGAAGGAACAATGACGAGGAGATAAAGAATGAACAGAAATTAATTTCGCTTGTGTGGATGCATGCAGAGGAGGATTTAGGTATAACACTTAAAATGAAATCTCCTTTTCATGCCTGGATTATATTTACACATACAGTACTACTGTACTTGGCATGTTGTATGCATGTGTGTGTGTATGGAGGTGTGTTTGTTACTATACTCTCATCCAAGTGGGACCTTATTTGAAAGGATGATGCAGATTCAGGGGTCCAAGTCTGTCACTGTGGAAAACGTAAGCCTCAATTTGCATCTTTCAAATTATTTTGCCACAGCCTCATTAAAGTCTATGAAAAGAAATCCCAGCACTTGGCAAAAAAATAGCTTTTTTTCCCCTTTAGCTGTTGAAATCAAAATGAATTGACGCAAAACACACAATAGGTCACTTCAGGGCATGTATATATGCCTCTAGTGATTTATTCTTGTCCACAAAATGAACTCATTTAATCCGACCTTGTGATAAAAGAGTTGAAAGTGTTGAGACAAATGTACAGATACAGTTATATACAGAAGCATAGTTATTTTATTGCAATAAAAAGCTTAAAGTTAAGTAATTTCCCCACGGGGATTATTAAAGTATTTCTGATTCTGAAATCAACTGTGCTTTTATGGTTTACAATCTGTATGGAAGAGGATATTAAAACACTAAAACTGGCTGATGATTGGAAACATTGAGACATTTTTGTGTTACCAGGTAATAGACACTTCACTCTGCTAGATACTGTAGTTTGATGCCAGCAACAATGAGGTGATGGTGAGGAAAATCTCCAAACCAGATGTTACCCTAATTTAATCAGATATCAGGTCAATTCATTTGGGAATGCTAATGAATACATGTTTGGATCCACTCTTGAAGACATAGATGGTCTCTTATAAATCTATGGTTTAAAAGCCAGTCATTAACAATTTAAATTATGTATTATTTTTCAAATGTCAGTTATAGTAACAGGACCTAAGATCACTTCCATGTACCGCTTAAATTAAGAGTCTTCCATCTTTGTTCTTCTTTTTCAGCTCAACTTTGTCTTATTTGTGAACATTGTACGAGTGCTGGCCACTAAAATTCGAGAGACAAACGCAGGGAGATACGACACCAGGAAACAGTACAGGTTTGTACTCAGCTGACTGTGTCTCTAAAACCAGTGGTTCTCTTTATGTCTGGATTGGAGTTTAGCGTAAATTGTGTCCTATATAAATCTCTGCATGCATGAATTACAATATTTCATCTTAATTTACATGTAACAGATGTTTTTGTCCAAAGTGTCTATTTGCATCAGGTTGAATAGTCATACAGCAGCCATTTATCCCTGGCCCCTCTAGTTTAGCACAAGACTTCCCACAGGGAGAACAGGGCTTTGTGTCCATACTTGGGAGACTGAAGCTTGAGTCCCATGTGAAATCAGAAGTCTAGACTTCTGCTCTTAATGAAAAGTGTCCTGGGGTAACTTCTGTTATGATTTGGTGCTTTACAAATGAAACTCAATTAAGGCGCAAATAGCATTGTTGGCTACTAACAGTTCAGTTAACACAAGGTTTAGTGGTGATTAGATAGGGCGACAAAACGGAGAACGGCACAATGTTGTTTGTTGACTGACAGTAGGGGAAAGGAAGAGATATAATAGACCACAAACTCTCAGAATCCGTTTTGTATGCATGTTGTTGTTTTCAACAGGATGCAATTGGTGTTCTATATTTTTGTTATTAGTAAATCCAAAACCAACAATGCGAGTCCAATCTTTCTTTGTTGCTATGATGAAGACCTGACTCATAAATGTATAATCTAATTTTAAAAAGGCTCTGCAGGTTTTTAGCAGCTCAAGTAAATCATGCACTGGGCTGTCTTTGGTTGTGGAATGAAATCAGAATCAGAATCAGAATCAGATTTATTGCCAGGTAGGTTTTTACACATACAAGGAATTTGTCTTGGTGCAATGGTGCTTAAAATATACAATCACACAAAAATATAAAAT